CCCGCCCGCTGCGGCGCTGGGTCCGGCCGCCCGGGGAGCGCCCTGCGGGGCAGAGGCGAGCCTCTGGCTGCCGGTATTCGCCGTGCTGCGGGGAGGAGGGTAAAGGATAAGTTAGCGCGGGGATGATGTGCGACGGTATTTATTTATTTTGGAAGGAAGGCTGTAATTAACCCTAAATAACAGCCCTCGCAGCGTGCAGGGGGGAGCCTGCTGGCCCCATCAAAGTGGGCAGAACAGGGAGTGACTGAGTGATGTGAAGTCGCAGATACTGAAACTATGTGCCGGATAATGATATAATTAGGGGATCACAGACTTCTGGCTGCTGTTGACTTCAAAAGCTTTAAGACAAGCCTGCAGTCTCTCCTGTAGCCATCTTGACTAAAAGCAGACATTTTTCTTTAATAGCTACATACAGTAACAAGAAAGAGGAGGGAACAGAAGGGCATTGTTCAGTGTTTTAAAATACTAAATACCCTTTCTGGCCTTTTGCATAGCACAGGAAGAAACTTTATGAATTGACAGAAATGCGGTTTTAATACAGCAATACAAAGTTCGTTCTGTTTCACCAAAAACGTGGCTTTAATTAAAAAGCAGTTGAATTAACCTGATGACTAGCCTGTCAGATTTTGTTTGTAAGATTGTCTTAGGTCAATAAAATGTAGGATTTTAAGTGGGGTTGTATAAACAGTTAAAATGGAAGTATGTGTATTGTTTAACTTTCCTCCTGTGCTGTGCTGAGACTCATGAAAGGGCTGTCAGCTCTGGTGGTGTTCTGCATCTTATTTTTAACTCTCATACAGTGAGAAAATGATGAGAGTTATTTTTTCAGAGAGGCTAGGGGAAGACCTCACATAGAATGCTTAGAAAATGATTGAGTCTTTTTTCCGTAGCATGCTGGATGACAATGTGTGTGAATTCATGAAAAATTAGGTTACTTGGTCTAAAAACCCAAGGGAATTGGACTGGAGACAGTGAGACACTCCATCATTTGGCTTCTATTAAGCAGAGTTATTAAAGAGCAGCGGGAACTTAAAGGCCTGGGGCCTGCAGTAGCAATTTGGGGAAAGTATTAAAGTAGGCTGAAGAGGGGAAGCTAACTTGGTTGGGATTATTTTTAACACCTTTCAGAACACCTTTTTAGGTATGGGGTACGGGGAAGCATGATAAGAGAGTGGCAGCCAGGAAGCCTGTAGATTATTTTTTTTTGAGTGCAGACTACAGTAGGAAGACCTCTGACAATTCAGTCAGCTTTTGAAACCTTGGTGCCACTATGATGGCCAGCACACCCTGCACATTAGAAATAGTTTTAAGTTCACTGTTTTAAGGATAGCTCTGAACTCTGGCTTCCTCCTAAACCTTGGGTTGATGGCACACTGAATTATGTTTGAGTTGCAACTTGCCTAGAAAGAGTAAGTTTTCCCCACAGCACAGGACGTCTATAATTCGTACCAGAGCAGTTTAGAGAGCACAAAATGAAGAGTTTTATGAAGGGAACTTTTTTTTATCGCTTCCCTCAGAAATTTTTGAGGTTTCCTGAGAGATTTTTTTCATAGAGCCGGTAGAGGATTTTCAGTCTAAGTGTTTCCCCTTTTGACCGCATGTTGAATTGCATGCAGAGTTGGGGAGGGGCAAGGGGGAGCTTTTAGCCTTGCAATTTCACCCCATTTAACAACTTTACATTTGAGTTGAGAGACATTGACTCTGGCAAGCAGATTAATTATAAACTGCACTGTTTCTATTTTATGATACTGATAAAAAAAACCTTTTTGCATGAATGGCTTCTTTAAGAATTTTTCTTTCTGGAGAAATTACAAATAGTTGCCCAGTTTCACATAGTAAAAACCTTCTTGACTTGGATTTAGATGGTAATGGTTCTAGCTAATAGCTTTATAAGGTGTTAGTTAAACCTTTTAAATTTTGGCATGGTAATAAACAATTCAGCAGTTCTGATTCTTTTTTGTTTGTCAATCAAATATTAAAACCTAGTATTTTTGTTGTGTTTAAGCCCAGTTAAAAGAAGTGTTACCTTTATAAAAATAGAATGCTGTTTTTGTAGCAATGGTTTAAAATACAGAAGTGACTTCTTTATAGGATGAAGGGTGTGTATTGCTTTTAAAGCTGGGATTTCATTTTAAATGTGGTTTAATGCAACTGCTTTCAGCAAGTGGAAGTAGCTATAAAATGGTCATGTTAGTTATTTACCTTGGGGGGAAAAAAAAAGCCACTGTGACCTTCCTCGTGTACCTTCCCCCGTCTCTGTTTTAGTGAAATGTTCTTGCTTTAATTCAAAGGACTACAGTACCAGTAATTAAAACAGGTGCCCCAGGGCATTTGCGGGGATTAAGGTTACAACGAGGTAGGCACTGCACAGTGCCTCATGGATTTACTGTCTAGGGGAGTACCCCAGAAATGGCACTGAGCTTGGTTGCGCAATGCTTGTGGCTAATGCGAGTACCCAAGGAGGTGTCCTTAAATGACCAAGTTCTTACCTTTCTTGCACAATTTTTATTTTTTAGGTGAAATCAGATGCTACTGTGATGCTGCACACTGTGTTGCAACTGGCTATATGTGCAAATCTGAGCTTAGTGCCTGCTTCTCCAGACTGCTGGATCCTCAGAACACACATTCCCCACTTTCTCATGGCTGCTTGGACTCTATTGCAAGCACAGCTGATGTCTGCCAATCCAAACAAGCACAAAACCACTCTGGCACCACCACCACGTCCATATTGGAATGCTGCCATGAAGATATGTGCAATTACAGAGGACTGCATGATGTTTTGTCTCCTTCCAGGGGTGATACTTCAGGTAAGGCAGGAAGCTTCAGTGATCTCTCTTCTGGCCATCAAGCTGGTGACAGCCAAAACCTTGCATGTCTGCTCTTGATGTAGTTGTTAATGAAAGTAAAGACACCAGAGGGAGAAGTGGGTGGCTGGATGCAGGGGAGCATCTCAAATGAGTGGGATTTTTTTGTCTGCCTTAATATTGTACGTCTGTCTTGCCGACTTGACTTTGCTTAAAAAGCAATGGCAGTGGCATTTCTAGTTAAATCAGTCATTGGGGTAAGAAATTCCATGTTCTAAACAGCCTTGGAAACTAATCTTTCTTTATAGGTGTATTTTCTGTAGATACTGTGGAGTGTGCAGCTGTGACTCCTTAAAACTTGCCAGTGTGGCATTTAAGGGAGTTGCTTAGATATAAGCCAGTTCTAGATACTGAAATAATAATATCTTTCCCCTTTGCAGGACAAGGGAGTCGATATCAACATGACAGCAGCAAGAGTCTCATCACCAAGGTGCAGGAATTGACCTCTTCAAAGGAGTTGTGGTTCAGGGCAGCTGTAATTGCTGTTCCTATAGCTGGTGGGCTAATCTTGGTGCTCCTTATCATGCTGGCCTTGCGGATGCTCAGGAGTGAAAATAAGAGACTGCAGGATCAACGACAGCAAATGCTCTCCCGTTTGCACTATAGTTTTCATGGACATCATTCGAAAAAAGGGCAGGTGGCAAAATTGGACTTGGAATGCATGGTGCCTGTGACTGGTCACGAGAACTGCTGCATGACCTGTGATAAAATGAGACATTCAGACCTCAGCAATGATAAAATTCTTTCGCTGGTCCACTGGGGAATGTACAGTGGACATGGGAAGCTGGAATTTGTATGACCAATTATTTTTAAATCTGAGCTAAACTTACTCTCTGAACTCTTGAAGGCCTCTGAGTTCTGCTGGACAGGAGCACTTTATCTTAAAACAAACTCTTGTAAATCATCTTCGAGAAGCAAAGGACCTCTGCAAACAGAATCTTGGATATTTCTTCTGAAGGATTCCAAAAGTTGTCTTATTTGCACAGAGTAAAATACACTCAAATGTATTGTTTGCTTTAAAGTTATGAAAGCAAAAATTAGAAGTTGTAAACACTGTCACCAGGGTTATCTGAACTGTATGGAGCTGAGAACTGAGTTATTATAATAAACTGTGTGCAAGCTCCTATGTTTCCTGACTTATTGTAAAGATTTTTTTAAATATATATATATTTTGTCTGAAACTTGCTTGTGACTTTTTGTTTTGGAAAGCAACTCTTTGGGCGGATGGTAGGAAACAAATCAGGGTGGTATGCATGGTAATGTTGTGCGTAACAACTGGATTCTGAAAGCAAGAGTTTATCTTTCTACTCTGAGGGAAATTAGGTGGTTATTCCAGAACAAAGGTAGCAGTTTTATTTTTTGATACTTCAAGTAGCAGTGTACCCACATCAGCAATGCTTGGCTATTGTAGCTTGCTCATAACCTGGGTGAATTCTTCTCCAGCTTTGTGGTAACTATTTCTTCTTCTCTGTTAATGAAGTGCTTCCTCTTTCTCTGCGAAGCATGTCAGAAAGTGGCTCCTGATTCTCTGTAACTGGTTTTTCTCCCTTGTCTCAATTCTTTTTTCCTTTTGTACATTTTACTCTCAACATTAGGATTTTTTGGGGGAAGAGGAGCGAAACACCAAAACCACGGTACCTACTCTGCTGTGTATGTATATTTTTTTTTCTACTGATCACCCCTCAGGGCACAGTGGAAAACATCTGTCTTGCTCTTCTGTAGTGTAACAAAGTATCGTGTGCTGATAGTTTTGTGTGGGACTAAAGAACAACAGTGCACTTGCTTTAATCTCTGGCTCCTCCTTTATGCTATTCTTGCAGAGGTGGCTTTTTTTCCTGCCAGTATTTGTGCACTTAGCACTGCTTTTCTTATTCCTTCAGCTAGTTGGCTTCACTTGATCATTTCATTTATTCAATGCCTAGTTGCTAAAAACAAACAAAACCTCTGGATTATCCAAGGAGCTTATTGTATTTATTTTTCTTGCTTTATTAGACTTTGCTGCAGTAATTAAAGTAGACTTGCTGAAGAGGCAGATGCCACATCATGATGAAAGAAGGGTCCAAAATGCTGCGGTAGGAGATTAAACTTGGCAAGAGTCTAGTATTTGTTTTAAATGACTTTAGAAATGTTTTTGCTTCCTGTTCTGGTTGTAAAGTTGAGTCCCTATTGTTGCCACCAGTGAAAAGGGATGGCACAGATGGGGTTACAGCAAACTTGCAGCAACGCTTTGATCTTTGCTTCTGCTGGTTGATTTGCTTTTGGATATGCAGCTGGAGATGCAAAGGGTTATAAGCACAGGATGTGCACCTCTTCGTCACAAGTTGATGTTCCTGAAAGCACACTTACACTGTGTGGTAGGCTTGTTGGAGATAAGTTGGTCACTTGGCTGCGCAAAGAGAGGCATCAATGTCGTAAACTTGCCTGTGCAGTTAAACACTCAAATCAGATGAGTGCAGCAAGAGCCCTGGGAATGCCAACCTCCCACCATGTCCATGTTTGCAATATTAAAGTGTAGTTTTGAAGGATTAGTTTCATCTATGAACTGCAAGCTGCTGGTTCTTCTTCCTTAAAGTTCCTGGAGAGTTGCTTTTATTGTCAAGAACTATATTCTCTGATTTCTACCTTTTTTTTCCTGCTAAAGTTTAAGAACTTATGTGGCTGCAACTGCTGTTGGAATCTGGCCTGTGGTCTCCTGGCTGACCTTTTGAAGTGCTGGTTTCCTGTAAGAGCTCTGCCCTTCCTTTGCACTGATCTAAAAGTCTAGGGCAGTTGGCTTCTCTGTCAAGTGTATTATTTTTGGGAATGGCTGGCTGGGAACTTTGTGCTGAAAGAGACAAGCCTAGACTGCTGTCTGTCAGGTGTAGCTGTACCAGTAGTTACCATGACTAGACAACTTGCAAGATCTGATGGCTAAACCTTTCAAGTGCTTTCTCCAGAAATTTGAGGGAGCATGTTGTATAGTCATTTAAGCATCCTCTGACTTTCACCACTCATTTGCTGCTGATCTTAATACTTAGAGGCCTATTTATGTTTGCCTTTACAAGGCCAGTAGGACCAGGATACTCTAATTGGCCCCTTACTGTGGAGATATTTTAAAGAGAAGAGGTTGTTTGCCTTCCCTGCAGTCCTAGGAGGAGGGCCACCGAGTTGTTGGGGACAGCACTTAGGTTACCAGCTGCTGTCTCTGGGGCTGTTCCGTTACCTGGTGCAGTACATATAGTGTAAGTGTGGTACCTGATAGGGCCTACAAGTTTCTGGGCTGTGAGTCTCCTAAAGATGAAATCTGGATTTCCAATTTATTTTAAAGCCCATATATTCAGGAAACTGTTATTAGCTCTGGTGTCTGGCAGCAGCTATGCATGTTATGGAATGAGCTCCAGATCTTTTCACTGAAATTACTGACTGCAGAATCCGAAGGGTGCTGGGGCAAGTAGTAGCTGTCTGCATCACTAGTGAGTGTTTCTGTAGTGGTTGCTTATATTGACTGCAGACCTCAGCAGCACCAGCTGTCCATTACAGTTTTTAGAAAACCTGTATTCCCATGACAAAGAGGGATCTGGGTGATGTTTCATGGGCTTTCCAGCTGCTGGGTGCTGTACTGGCATGGACCAAGGCCATCTTAGACACCCACTGCATATTACCTAGGAGTCAGGGAACAAATGTTAAGAGCCTGGCCATGAAGAGGTGAGACAGTAATCGATGGCTGTCCTTTTAAAACACATTTGACTTAGGAGCCTGGATTTGTCATTGTGCTGCGCACTCTCAGATTTCCCCTGCAGACAGTAACAAATGCTCCTTTCTTTGAAACCGCTGCAAACCCTGGAATGTGAGAGGGACAACCCTCTCTGCTTCTAACTGAAAAAGTCTCTCCTATTGGAATAAATAAAATCAGATGTCCAAGGTGTAATTTAGTGTCCCTGTGCCTCTGTGTTTACCTGATTCTTTCCTCAAAACAATAATGGTTGTGGCTTTTCTTGTGTATCTGCTTCTCCCAGCTTTGAGAGCCGCTGGGTTGGTATGTCCCCTCTTAACTCCTGCTG